CCTGCTCCTCGTCGATGAAGCGCCTGCGCAGCTTGTCGACGTAGCCCTGCTGGTGCAGCCACAGCTTCCTGGCCGGCCTGTCGCGCATGATCTCCAGCCCAAGGTACTTGACAACCGGCGAGATCTCACGCAGCTCGAAGGCGGCCTCCAGCAGCTCCTTCAGCTCCTTCAGCATCACGGTGCTGCTGCTGGCGGCGAGCAGGTCGTCGACGTAGACCAGCACCCAGCAGGTTACAGCGTCATTGCCGGTCTTGAAGTAGAGCGCCTCATCGACCTGGCTCTTCTTCCAGCCAGCGCCAAGCAGCACACCATCGAGAGCCCTGTACCACAGCAGCGGCGACTGCTTCAACCCGTAGAGGCTCTTCAGCAGCTTGCACACCTAGCCGGTGTCAGAATGAACGAACAGGAATGATTGAACTAGCAGTGAAATGAGTACAAGTACCTAACCTTAGAATTGTGTACCCCCTAAAGGCTAACCCACTGTAGCCTAAACAACCACAACATATATAATGTTTGACACACCCCCATAGGCAAAGTGGGGGAGAACAAGGGGTCACAAGACCAGTCAGAGCAAAGCAAAGCACAAGCAAGCTCAGGGTGGATCTCAAGAGATACCACACAAATTCTGAGCACAAGCAAGTGGTCACAAGACCAGTTCACATGCAGTTTGATAATATAGCAAGAGGTACAGTGATCACAACCTAGCAAGTGAAAGCATGCAGGTATATATATAGGGATCACAGTACAAGCAAAGTCAAGAAGTAAGCAAGTGAGGTCCAGTAGGCACAAGGCCTAGAAGAGTACAGAAGCGCTGATGGTCACAAGGCTGAAGCGCCTTGGTGAACACGTCAGCAGTGTTGGCCTGAGTGGCCACGTAACGCAGACGAAGCTGACCACGCTGCTGCAGCTCTCGAGCCAGAAAGTACCGCAGAGCGATGTGCTTCGTTATGTGCTCCAGTCTGTGCTCCTCACACAAGGCAATGGCAGCCTTGTTGTCGACGTACAGCACTGGAGGAGAACAAGGCCGCTCTCCCAAGTCGGTCAGCAGGTAGGTGAGCCAGCGTAGCTCCTGGGCTGCCATGGCTGTGGCGTAGATCTCAGCCTCACAACTGGAGCTGAGAACTGAAGAAGAGCGTGTAGAACGCCAAGAAACTGAACCAGAGCCAAGGCTGAAGGTGTAACCCTGAGACGACCGCTGAGTGGCCTGGTCGTCTGCCCAAGAAGCGTTTGAGTGCCCAGTGAGAACAACTCGGTCTCGCCCTCCAAGCACTAGCCCCATGCCCGACGTACTGCACAAGTAGCGCAACACCCTCTTAGCGGCATCCATGTGCTCCTTCCTGTGACGGCCAGGAGCGACATAGCGTGCAAGGATGCTAAGAGGGTATGCAAGGTCAGGTCGAGTGCAGGTCATCAGGTACATGAGGCAGCCCACAAGCTCTGGATACGGGCCACTCGACTCTACGGACTCATCCAAAGGCAGAGCTGAGAGCGAGTGACCGGTAGGCAGAGGAGTGGACTGAGGCGAGGAGTACGTGAAGCCGAAGCGCTGAAGGACCTGCTGCACCATGTGTGACTGAGTCAAGGTAATGGTGCGCCGTGCTCTGTCCCGGGTGATCCGCAAGCCAAGATAGCTTGTCAGTTCACCCAGGTCTGTGCACGTGTGTCTCTTCTGCAGCTCCGACTTCATGTGGGCGAGAGCCTCAGTGTCAGCAGTGGCAAAGACCAAGTCGTCGACGTACACGAGGATATAGAACGGCGGCAGCGAAGTGTCTGTGCGCAGAAACAGCGACGGGTCAGCAGTAGAAGGCGCGAACCCAAGTGCCGCAAGTGTCGTCCTCAGTGTGTCGTGCCACTCACGTGGTGCCTGGCGGAGACCGTAGACCGGCCGCCGGAGGCTCCACTGGGTACCAGGAGGAAACGACCCAGTGAAGCCAGGAGGGCGGCGCAGCCAGATCTCCTCGTGCAGGCTACCCTGCAAGAAAGCAGTGCTGAAGTCAAGAGAGTGAAGCTCGTAGTCGCGCTGAGCGGCTATGTGCAGCAGCACCCGAAGAGTGGTCATCTTCGGGGTGGGGGAGAAGGTATGGAAGAAGTCGACTCCCTCACGCTGACTGAAGCCTCGAGCAACGTAACGCGCCTTGAAGACAGGCGGAGAACCCGGCGGCCGCTTCACCCTGAAAATCCACATGCCACTGACGATGTTCACCCCAGGTGGGGGAACCTCGTCGACGTAGGTGCCTGTGGACTTCCAGGAAGCCATCTCTGCGTCCATGGCTGTCTGCCACTGAGAGGAGTAGGGACCCGCTATCGCCTCTGCGTAAGAGCGCGGGGTCGGGATGTCTGGTGCATCCGGGTCTCCCTCAGGGGCAACTAGCATGGACACGAGATGAGGCAAAGCAGCAGCAAAGCACTGGAACTCCTCCTGCCTGTCCTCAAGGACGTCCGTGCCAAGAGCACACTCACCCCCAACGGACGGAGGACAGACAGACTCAGATTCAGCAACAAGGCTAGCGGCGTAGTCTAGACGACAAGCGGCAGCAAAGTCAACTAACTCAGCGACGAGAGCAGACGCAGCAGAGGACTCAAAGGAAGGGTCAGTGACAACAGTAGCGAGGAGACGCGTGACAGTAGGACGGGCAGCACGAAGGGAGTCAGACTCCGGGTCAGCAAGAGTAGGAAGAGAGGACGCAGGAGGAGACGGCAGAGGGACACGCTGAGGAGCAGTGGAGGGACGCAGAGTCATGTAGTGAGTGCCAGGGACAGGAGGAGGACGCTCACGCGGGACACGACGACCAGTGCGAGTAGCGCGAACAGGCGACGTAGAGCGAGACGCAGGCGACACAGGACGAGACTCAGGCTCACGACGCTCCGTAAGACCTCCTGTGGGACCAGTGTAAGGAGAAGGACCAGGGAGCGGCGAGGCAGGCGGTAACTGTGACGGTGACTGGACAGGCGGAGGACACTCTAAGGAGGGAGCAGGACAAGGAGGAGGAGGCTGACCAAGAACCTGCTGAAGGAGCGGAACGAAGTACGGCCGGGGCCGCGCAGCGACTCCAGAACCAGTAGAGACACCACCAGCACCCGTAAGAGCTCCAGCAGCGCCAGCTCCAGGGTCCTCAGCACCAGAAGTAGCCCCAACTCCAGGGTCCGCAGCACCAGCAGCAGCTCCAACGTTAGGGTCCGCAGCACCAGCAGCAGCTCCAACTCCAGGGTCCGCAGCACCAGCAGCGGCTCCAACTCCAGGGTCCGCAGCACCAGCAGGAGCTCCAGCACCAGGGTCCTCAGGACTAGCAGCAGCTCCAACTCCAGGGTCCTCAGCACCAGCAGCAGCTCCAACTCCAGGGTCCGCAGCACCAGTAGAGCCTCCAGCACCAGCAGCAGCACCTCCAGCAGCTCCAGCTCCTGCAGCGCTAGCAGCAGCACCTCCAGCACCTCCAGCACCAGGGTCCGCGACACGAGGCGCGCCACTCCGGAGAGTGCAGCGCCGCTCGTACCACTCACGGATCCGCTCAAGAGAGGGCAGCTCCCGCTGAGGAGGGGAGGCACCAGCACCAGTCCCAGTAGTACTCCTGGCTCCAGAGGCACCTCTCCGGAGGCTGCAGTACTGTGAGTACCACTCACACAGCTCCTACGAGGAGAGAGCTCCTCCAGGTGTAGGACTCCCAGGCTCAGCACCCCCAGACTCAAAACCCCAAGACTCCGGACTCCGTGGCTCAGCACCCCCAAGCTCAGCACCCCCAGGCTCAGTACCCTCAGGCTCAGCACTCCCAGGCTCAGCACCCCCAGACTCCGCACCCCCAGGCTCCGCACCCGCACCCTCCGCACCCCCAGGCTCAGCACCCCCAGGCTCCGCACCCCCAGGCTCCGCACCCTCAGGCTCCGCACGCAGAGAGAGTCAACAGCTACCTCAACAGGCTCAACCGGGTCTACCTGGGACACACCTGAGGGAGCGGCACCCTGAGGGGGGAGGGGGTCTACCACAGCAGCACCTGGCGCGAGGAAGAGAGGCGGGGGGGGGAGCGGGGCAGTGCGGTAGGGGACGGACTCGTCAAAAGTGACGTCCTGAGAGGGCAGGACCCGGCGCGAGGTGGGGTGGTAAAACTGCCAACCAGACGCGTCAGGGACAAAGCCAAGGAAGACACAGGGAACAGCGCGGGAGGAGAGCTTGTCCGCGGACGTATCGCGGACAAAAGCTCGAGATCCCCAAACCCGGAAACGCGACGCATCGCCAACCTCCCCCGTCCACAGCAGTGTGGGCGAGGTCTCCGGCAAGGAGACACGGGGCCAGAGGTTGAGCTGATGCGCAGCGTACCGGACCGCAAACGGCCACAGAAAGTGGGGGGCAGCCGCATGGATCAAGGAGGTACGGGCAGCCAATGCGGCGCTCCGCAACCCCATTCTGCTGTGGAGAGGCCGGAAGCGTGAACGACTGCTCAATGCCGTGCTCAGCACAGTAGGCTGCCAAGAGGTCGGAGGAGAACTCACCACCTCTGTCAGAGTGCAAGCGCAGGACAGGAAAGTCCGAGTGGAAACGCTCGCTGAGCTGGAGACGAGCTCTGCGGATCCAAGGGATCAAAACATCAGGGACCTCACCCTTGGTGCGCAAGGGGAAGACCGTGGTGTAGCGCGAGTAGTCGTCAACAACTATCAGGAAGTACCTCTCCTGACCCTGACCACGGACGCGGGCCGGGCCCCACACGTCCATGTGGAGCGTCTGCAAGGGAGCAGTCGTCGGGGGAAACGAGGAGGAGTGAGGAGCGGCGCGCTGCCGCCCCTCGACACAGGGAAGACAGGGAGGAGCAGGCGAGGGTGGGAGGGGAGGGAGGACCCTGGGAAGACCAGAGACAAGGTACCGGGAGTGCATGGCACGAAGGCGCTGCACAGACGGGTGGCCAAGTCGGTGGTGCCAGAGGACAGTCTCGTGCGCCAGAGAGCGACACGAGCAGGGGGCTGACAGCTGACCTGACGCAGACGCAGACGCAGACGCAGCGACCTGAGGGGACTCAGTGGTCAGTGTGTACAGGTCCGACCCCGGCTGCCGAGTGAAGGTAGCCAAGTGGCGGCCCGTACGAGCACACGTGCACGCGCTCGTAGTCAGGGGTGAACTGGTGAACACCCCCGTCCTGGAGCGCACACCCTGCCACCAGGTTCGTAGAGAACGAGGGGAGGTGGAGACCTGACAGTGTGCCTGACGGGACCGCAGGACAGGGAAGGACAGTGGAGGAGGTCGCAACGACCGGGCCCCCAGAGGGGTCAGCGAGGGAGACAGCAACTGGCCGAGCAAGCGGCTCAAGGACAGTGCGGTCACGAAAGAAGCAGCGAGAAGCACCTGAGTCCAGTGTGAAGGTGTGTAGTGCCTCAGTCGACTCAGTACCAGGGGGCGCAGACGCACAAGCACCTAGAGCAGCAGCCTCACCAGCACCTGGGGTAGCAGACACGCGAGTACCTGAAGCGGCAGACGTACTAGCACCTAGAGCGGCAGCCGTACTGGTCCTAATGCCCGGGTCGGGCGGAACACACAGGTACTCAGCACCCTCTCCACTAGTAGACATCACATACATGGCAGTGAGAATAGCATCAAAGTCTAGAGCATAGATATCAATCCCCTTCTTCAGGAGATCAACCCAGCGGGGCAGCTCAGTGGCCTGAGGGAACTGAACACGCCAAGCGTCGTTGAGGCGAGCGAAGCAGCGCTGCGTGGCGTGCGGTCCCCCACACGGCTGACCAGTGCGGTCACCAGTGCGAATGACGTACGTGCAGCTAAAGCCACCCGCCCCCCCCCCCGTGCTGAGAGTACCACTCACGGACCTCCTGGGGCGACGGAGTGTGCTGCTGGCTCTGGCCACCGCCAGCGCCTCCACGACCACCACCTCCGCCCCCACCTCCTCGACCACCCCAACCCCTGCCGCCGCCGCGTCCACCGCCACCCCCACCGCCCCTGCCACCTCCCCTGCCGCTGCCGCCACCACCCCCCGCTGCCACTTGCCCCTCCAGCCCCGCCCCGCCACCACCCCCACCGCCGCCACCGCCCCCACCACCGCCTCCCCCGCCGTCACCTCCTCCTCCCTTGCCCCCTTTGCCCTTGCCGCTGCGGCGTCCGCTCGAAGCAGACGCAGTCCCGACCTTCTCAGCACCAAGGAGGTCGACAGCAGCAGCAGAGGCGACAGAGGGAAGAAGGGGGGAAGGAGAACACCCCTCAAAGAACGGGGTGCGGGGGTCGCCACGAGAGGCACCTACAGCGACTATGCTAGCCTCAGCTGCAAGTAGTTCCTTCTCGAGGAGGGCAATGGTGAGCTCAGTAGGGCAGCGAGCTAGGAAGGAATCCCTGACTGCACGCAGAGAGTCAGGGAGGCGGGTGACTAGGTGGTAGAGAGTGAGCCAGAGCGGGGGGGGGTTCTTGGCAAGGAACTCATCAGGCATAGCGGCGCGGAAGCGAGCCTCACTAGTGCGGAGGTGCGTGATGAGGTCAGCGACTGTGTGGAAAGAGGACAGGTCGGGGAACAGGTAGGGAAGCGAGAGACGGCCTAGTGCGGCAGAGGCAGGTGAGGAGTAGCGGGCAACGACAGCAGTGTACAGTGCCTGCGCAGTCTTGTGCTGGCCAAAGTGCTCGCGTTCATCTATCGGCAGGGAGTTGCGAATAGCAAAGCGAGCGTGGGCGTCACGAGTCTGCCACTGTGAGCGGGCAGTGCTGTCAGCAGTAGCAGCAGGGGCAGTAGCATGGCCTAGGGCGTGATCGTACAGTGAGATGTCCTCCTTGGCAGTGAGCTGTAGGAAGAGGTGCAGGTCATCTAGCCAGGTGTCAAACTTCACTGGACGTCCCTCAGCATCGAAAGCTAGCACAGGAGGGCTAGCCATAGTAGCAGTAGGAGCAGTAGGAGTAGTAGGAGCGGTAGCAGTAGGTGCACCCTAACATCAGTAGGCAGCGCGACTCAGGTAGGGCGGCTCGGTCCAGAGAGGCTGTTCGGTCAGGACGGGCGGCGCGGTTCGGTTGAGGTAGGGCGGCGCGGCTAGGGTAGGGCGGCGCGGCTCGGTGTGGGTTGAGCGGCTCGGTTCGGGCGGCCTGGGTTTGGCGGGGCCGTCGCTGTCGCGTGCGGGGCGGTTAGGGGCAGCGGGTGGGGTCGACGGGGCCAGCGGGGCCTCTAAGGGGCGGCGTTCGGGGTCGACGGGGCCTCTAAGGGGCGGCGCGGGGGTCGCTAAAGGGCGGCGCGCGGGGTCGACGGGGCCAGCGGGGCCTCTAAGGGGCGGCGCGCGGGGTCGACGGGGCCTCGAAGGGGCGGCGCGCGGGTCGCTAGAGGGCGGCGCGCGGGGTCGACGGGGCCAGCGGGGCCTCTAAGGGGCTGCGACGGGGCCGTAAGGGGCCTCTAGGGGCGAGCGCGGGGCCATAAGGGGCCTCTAGGGGGCGAACGCGGGGCCGACGGGGCCGCTAAGGGGCGGCGCGTGAAGGCGACGAGGCCGTAAGGGGCGGCGCGCGGGTCGCTAAGGGGCGGGTCGCGGGTCGCGGGGCCTTAGGGGGCCGTGAAAAACGAGGCGCCCTAGGGCGCAGGTAGGTAGGTAGGTAGGCAGTAGCGGTGGGCCCTAAAAAAAAACGGTCCTAGCGAAGGACCTGCTCTGAAACCATGTCAGAATGAACGAACAGGAATGATTGAACTAGCAGTGAAATGAGTACAAGTACCTAACCTTAGAATTGTGTACCCCCTAAAGGCTAACCCACTGTAGCCTAAACAACCACAACATATATAATGTTTGACAGCCGGTCCCATCGTCGAAGTAGTCCGGCTGGTACATGTAGAGCACCCTGTCGAGCTTGCTCTGCAGGAAAGCGTTCTTCATGTCGAGCTGCATCAAGTTGAGGTCGAGGACAGCGACGATGCTGAGGAAGATCCTCGGCATGACGTAGCTGCTCATTGGCGAGTACGTCTCATCGTAATCGGCTCCGTACACCTGCGTGAAGCCCTTCACGACCAGCCTCGCCTTCTCGTGCTCGACGGTGTCGTCGATGCGGTACTTGGTCGTCAACACCCACCGGTTCTTCATGACGTTCACTCCGCGTGGGCGTTCGACCAGCTCCCAAGTGCCCATGCTGATGAGGCTGCGGATCTCCTCTTCCATGGCGGCCTTCACCGCCTGCCTTCCAGTTCGCCAGCGCCTCCTTCACTATCATCGTGGCGATGTCCCAGCGGTGTTCGGGGTCGGCATGCACGTCATGGTCGAGCTCTGGCAGGTCTTCGTTCTCCTCAGCGTCGTCGTACAACAGATCGTCGTCGACCTCGTCGTACACCGTGGTGAAGGCAGCTGGCGGTAAGCAGGTGTGGAAGCTCAGCCGCTCCGGCGGCCGTCGAGCTCGACCTGTGCGTCGCAGCTCAGGTTTCTCGACTGGAACCTCGAGCGGAACCTCCACCATATCGCTGTCAATGGACTCTCCCGCCGATAGCTCCCCTTCGTCAACCAAATGCTTCGATCCTACGACCGGCTGCTCGCCTGCTGCTGACTTCGACAGCTCCCCTGTCGACTGCACCCCTGCTGCTGCCTCCTGGTCGACCGTCTCCCCTGTCTGCTGCTCCCCTGTCGTCGACAGCTTCTCATCCTGGTCGACGAGCTTGGTGCCTTGTCGACCGCCAGTGATGCCACTGGCCGGCGCCCCAGGCGACGCCTCAAGGCTCCCCTCATCGCCGGCGGCCGACACAGGCGTCGACGCAGGCCGATTTGCAACGGGGGAGGGAGGACCAAGAACAAGGGGAGGTGGAAGAACCTCCACAACGTCCTCATTAGCAGCCTCGTCGACTTCGGCGAGCAGTAGAACCGTCGCCGTCGAGGTGTCCGTCGGCGGGTGTGCCTGCGTCCGCCTAGACGCCGGCCCATACGTCGCCTTCCACACCTCCAGCGACAACGTCTCGTAGAAGATCACCTCGACCGACGTGACCACCTCGTGGTCGGTCAGGTCAAGCACCTCCGAGCCCTTGCTCTTCGGCAACACACCCAGGTGAAGTCCCCAGCGAGCTTTCGGCGCCAGCTTCCCACCGCGCTGCTGCTCGGGAACCATGAACTGCACCATGCAGCCCCACACCCGCGCCAGCGTGAGGTCGGGCTTCTTCCCGGTCAGCAGCTGATACGGCATCGTCCCAGGCAGCGTCGTCGACCGCTCCAAGCAATTGCGCACCCAGACGGCCTGCCGCAGGGCGAGGTGCCACCAGTGGTGCTGCACGCCCATGTGCAGCAGCATCATCCACACGGACTCAACGACCGTGCGCATCTCCCGCTCTGCCATGCCGTTCTGCTGCGGAGTGTAGGGGCACGTCAGGTCGTGGACGATGCCCTTTCCATTGACGAAGGTGGTGAAATCCTTTCCAAGGAGCTCCCCGCCCCGGTCAGAGCGGAGCGACAGCACCGACTTCTTCGTCTGCCGTTCCACCAGCACCAGCCACTTCTGAAACTCCCGCAGCACGTCGCTCTTCTTAGCGACCGGCATTGCCCACACGAAACGAGTGTGGCGATCCTTCAGCAGCAGGAAGTACAAGCTGCCATCCTTGGCAGCCACCCGAAATGGCCCGCACAAGTCAATGTGCACGACAGCCAGTGCCTCCTCGGCGTCCGAGCCTTTGTTGGGGAAGGTGTTCCGCGCCAGCTTTGTGTTTCTACTCCGGTCGACGACGTGATGTCGAGCCCAGTAGCAACTTCATGCTTCGCCGAGCTCTTGATCGTGTCGATGCTGACGTGCGCGAGCCTCGCGTGCAACCGGTCGGGAGTCACCTTTGTCGTCGAGACGATTGTCCGTAGAGCCACCACCTCGGTCGACGGCGACCGCGTCGAGCAGGGGCGAAGGTCGGTGCAGAGGACTCGTCCGGTGTAGCGTGCTCGACCGAGCACCTCCCCGGTCGCGGCGACGAACAACATCTCGTCGCCGTCGCCCTGCAGCTGCACTCCGCTCTCCTTCAGCTGGCCAGCAGACAGCAGGTTCACCTGGACGCCCGGAACCTAGAGCACGTCGGGGATGAGGACTTGCTTCCCGGCCTCCCCTTGCAGAGCGACGGTTCCGCGACCCTCGACAGGCTGCAGCGCCCCGTTGAATCCACGCACGTGTTTCACACCGTCGCTCGGCGCCATGTCGATGAAGACCGCCTTCGTCCCCATCAGGTGGTGGGAGCAACCGCTGTCGAGCAGCACCGCCATCGGGTTGGCTTGCACAGCTGCCGCCACCGCCTGGAAGTCCTTGCCAGCCTCTGGTGCCAGTGAGACTGTCGGCTCCACCACGCCGACCATCGAGCACGACGCCTCCCCATCGCCTCGGCCCTTGCCGCTGGAGCTGTTGGAGTCCTTCGTCGACGACGTCTTCTTCGACGTCTGCTTCTCCTTGCATGGCTTGTCATCTCGACGGGGGTGACGACTCGTCGACCGTTGTTGGAATCTCTCTCTTCCTCCAAGCTGCTCTCCCGTTGCCGGCTCCTCCAGTGCTGCCACTCTCTGCCTCCGTTCCACCATCAGGTTTCTCAGTTCTCTCTTCATGCCTTGGGTCTTTGGCCCAGCCTTTCCCACTTGAAAGTTCCTAGCAGGATGCTGAACTTGACAAGGGAAACCTAACTCGGCTGACTGCCGGGCACGACAATCTCTAATAGACAAAGTGCTTGCTGTGATTGGCTCCTCTTACTGGCAACGACACTAGCGGTCCACTTGGATCAGTTCCTTGCTTAGAGTGGAAACAAACAAGCAAGCAAGTTCCTCTCACCTTGTTGTTTGCCTAAGTATCACTTTTTGGTTACCGTTGCTAGCAACGGTCCTCGTTCTTCACTACTTCTGCACATTTCCCCGCTACTATACTATCAACTCCCGCCTGTCTCTCTACAGGACTTTGCGCTACCTTACTAGTCTTGCTTTTATATTGTTCATCTATTCCTACAATTAAAAGCGTGACAGCTGTCGGAATCTCTCTCTTCCTCCAGGCTGCTCTCCCGTTGCCGGCTCCTCCAGTGCTGCCACTCTCTGCCTCCGTTCCATCTCTACCCCATTAGGTTTCTCAGTTCTCTCTTCATGCCTTGGGTCTTTGGCCCAGCCTTTCCCACTTGCCCCCTCCTCGGCTCCAGCTCTGCCTCCCGCTGCCGATGGACTTCCTGCTTGAAAGGCTGCCTTCCTCCCTGGGTTGTTATGCCGCCTCCGCTCTCCTGGCTTTCTCTCCTGGGTCGGGCTCGTGCCACGTTTGTCTGATGATCCCTTTACTCTTGCCCCTTCTCACTCACTAGCACCACTAATCCAGAGTCCTTGATCTCCTTCACTCTCCACCTTTCCGTGCTCAGCCCCACATCCATCATGTCTTGCCGAGCCTGCTTCACGTACACTTCTTCTCCCACCCCCAGTGGCTGCCCCTTTTTCTCCATATTGCTCTCCTTCCTACGCTTGTACCTCTGCGCGTCTCGGAGCTGGGCCACCTGCAAGTTCTCCAGTGCTGCTGGTAACATTCTCGCAGATACCTCGCCCGCGCCTCCGCTAGCCCCACCCACTCCTCTTCCGAACTTGTGGTAACCACACCAGTCAGTACACGGGGTGCGTCCACTGGTAGTATGGGTTCCCGTCCCAACAACAGATAGTACGGGGAGAAATCCCTTAGCGCTGCCTGCTTACTGAATCGGTAGCCCGCTACCACCCAAGGCAGGCGTGCATCCCAGTCGCGCTTGAACCGCTCTCCGTAGGCCCTTAACCCTTTCTTGATGGTCTGGACGAATCTCTCTGTCAGCCCATCACTCTGTGGGTGATACCGGGAAGTCCTCTAGTGTGTGATCCCGCTCTCCTTCAGCAGCTTCTCGAATTCTCCCAGGAATTCGGTGCCTTGATCGGTCAACACTTCTCCACACGCCCCAAATCTGGTC